CAGAAAAACTCATCCTGATCTTAAGAAAATGTTAACTTTTTTTTTATCAAAAAAGACATTAAAATTTTCCTATGATGCTTGAAAATCCTAAGGACATTAAAACATTAGATCTCTTCATTCATTCCATTTTTATTTTACTCAGATTGTAAAACTTAAAGTCAGCTTTCTTTTTCTGACCCATAAGAGTAAAAATGAAAACACTAAAATTATCTGTCTTGTCTAGATTTCTGACACTTGGTCATTATTTCTGTAATTCCAGCAAAAAGGAGGAGCTTGCCAGAATGATTGCCATTCCTATACTACAATGTGATCTCAAGGCCTCTGAGAAATATTTTTAGTGCTCTTTCCTAAAAAGGCTGGATATTGCAGCTCCATAACTTTTTAAAAACTGAAGTAAAATTCTAAGATAATTTTAATAGTTTTTCATAATGGTGATGGCAAAAATGGAATTTTATAAAAGGAGCTAAAGAGAAAATCAAATGAGGGAAGGAAAAAAGCAAGGAATGCAGTGGGGATCAGTGGAAGGAAAGAAGATGGAAAGTAATAAACATCTCGTTAGTCCTCCCACTGATTTTACAAAGCTCATTTTTGTCAACATCTTGACCCATTTATTATAGTTAAGCAGCAAACTGGTGCCACAGAGGTCATATAGGTAATAAATGGAGGAACTGAACTTACCTCTCAACAACCCCGTTTTTATGCACCCAGAGTAGAATTAGATTACAAAAACCATAAGGAATAAGGCAAATGATAGACATCGAAACAGGACCAGCAGCAAGACCGAAATGCTGTTGGACTAATGGCCTGGGATTCTTTAAATTCACCTTATCTAGAAATAAGGTTTGTTACTAAGTTACTAGAAAAGAAGAGGGCACTTGAGCATTATAGATTGAAGAAGAATGAAGCAGGGTGCCTAGTAGCTATATATTAACATTTACTAGATTGTACCTCAGTCTCTGAATGGCTCTCTAAATCTTTTTATTGTGCTAAAAATAAATGTATAAGGGGCTGGTAGATGGCATGGTGGTTATAGGCGCTGGACTCCCACATGGCTGACCACAGTTCGAGTCTCGGACCTGTGGCTCACTCTCTCGTCAAAATTGAAAAATAACGTTAATAAATAAATGAATCTTTTTTTTTTTTGAAGAGGTTTTCGCTATAGGGCGCGTGTGCTCACCAGACAGACAGAGAGAGACAAGAGAGACAGAAAGTGAGAAATCACCCTCCAGGGTGTATGGCCACGCTGCAATCCCTTCTCCATTCTCCTCTTGGGATCTTGGGCATGCATGCACATGTGCCCGGTGTGAGTTTAAGCCACTGGGTCTGGGACACGAACCACAGTTGACTACATGGGAGTCCAGCGACATAGCCATTACGCTAACTGCTGGTCCCTAAATAAATAATTCTTAAATTATTTATACACACACACACACACACACACACACACACACACACACATATATATATAAATAAAGCATAAGCTTACTATTTTAACCATTTTAAAGTGTACAGTTTACTGGCATTAGACACATTTACAATGTTGTACAACCGTTACTGCTATCCTGTTGTTCTTTTTTATACTATTCTCTATTCGTCATTGAGGTCAGCACAATGCTATTATATACACATAGAAAATGTCCCTTTAAGTACATGGTTAATTTGCGTAGATATTATCATATCCATGTGATGATGAGAGGATGTGGTCACTGATTATGTTCCCTGGTCATTCTGTGCCTCAATAGGGCTTCTGTAAGTCCTTGCCATGTGGTCATGAGAACTTGGTTATCCTGGGAATATTAATCAGGGATTCTCCTTTGAGCTGCTGCCTAATAACATTCGATCTCACGTCCTTACCCAGATTATTATAAATAGGACATTTGTAATGAGCTATAGTCATGGCCAGTCTTCCTGCATGAGTCTTCCTTAGATTTGGCTAAGAGCTACTTACATAACTTAATTGAACATATAATGTTAAATGGCCACAAACCCTTTATCTTCCTGTCATGTGGCTACACTACCAGTAGGGAAGTGTATTTGTTGTGAGTGAGAAAAACTTTGTACGTGTTTAGTTTGTTTTGAATTCAACTTCATTGAAGTATAACGTATATACATTAAAATGTATTTTATGTGTACAGCCTGATTTTTGGCTAATGTATGTAATTGTGTCACCATACATGTATAGATTTTACAAACTGTGTTAGATTTGGTGATTATTAGTTATAGTAACTGAATAAATTTTGATCCTAAAAACAGTAGTCTTCTGGGGATTGTGTTATTCCCTTCTATATACAAATACACCAATAGGTCATATATAGGACTAATTCAGAAACTTCAAACATTTTGCTTCTCTGACTGACAGGCATCAGAAACAATTCAAACAATTTACTGCATTCTGTTAGGCATTAAAATATTAGAAGAATATCCACAAACTAGAACATAAACAGAAGAGGCTAGTACTAAAAAGCCTAGAAATTATATTGCAAAAAGAACACAGAAGAATCAGGGGGTTTTAAGAGAAGAAAATATGGTTAGGTGGGAGAGAAACATTGGTCTCAAAACCTTACAAAACTTTTATATGGACAAAGACAAAACTTGATCAGTATATGGTGTTAGAGGGCAAAAGTACCAAAGGGAAGTTATCATTGGGCAGAAGTTACATAAGAAGGCTCTGAGAGTTAGAACCTCCATATGGATTGGTTGAAGTATCAAATATCCCTACACTGTAACTGTTCAAAAAATGACAGCTAACAGAACTTCAGTTACATGAGAATGTTAATATGCATGCTAAATTCATGAATGAGAAAAAAAAAAAGACAGCTAAAAGACCATTTATTTGAGAAGCTGGGGCAAGAGTAGAGGGATAATATCAGTTGGATTCTTAAGTCCTTTCCTGTTCCAATTCTGAGTGTGTGACCTAGGAATCCCTAGGGAAACCATAACTCAACAACCCCAAAATCATGGTTTGATAAGAAAAAAACAAGATGGCTATGTAAGCAGAAATAAGTTTGCACCTATATGGACATACATATATACTCACACATCCTACCTTCCCATAAGTTCTGGGAAGAAAAAATAAGAACCATTTTTAAAAATAATGATAAAGAATCTATTCTATTTTCCCCACCAAATCTTTGACTCTCTCTTCCTCTAAGTTCTGCTATATCTACCTCAGAAATACCTTTAGTTGTCTTTTACTTTTTTACTGGTATTGCCATTGCTCCAGGTTAAACTCTTGAAATTGATTCCTAACTAGTCATCCTGTCCATAATCTCGTCTCTTAAACCATTCTTTACACAACTAACAGTGAACTTTCTGAAATCCAGTTACATTACTCTAACCTGCTTAGAAATCTATATTGACTCCTCAATGCCTATGAAGTGAAGTTCAAACTCTCTAGTATGGCATTCAATCAGTCTGGCCCTTGTCTTCCTTGCTTTTGCATCATACCTTATGCCTTCATTATGTACTGCAACCTGTCATTCTTGAACAGATCATATACTTCTCTATTCCACATCTGATCAGTTGTTCTAAAATGTACTCCCTCACTCCCACCTATGGACATATACTGATTTTCCAAGGCTCATTCAACTGCTACCTAGCTGTGTGAGCCTATCCTTAAGGCTTTCGCCTCTTAACCTTTGCCTTCCTTCTTTGGAATTAAATACTTCTCCTTGTAACTAATAATATATTTAGTCATCATGCTCAAAAGCTCAATTTTTGGAGTCCAAGCCTATCTCCACCCACTTTGGAATTCCCAAAGGCAGAAAGTGGGCTTCATTTTCTTCTATATCTAACCTTATCAGACTCATAGTGCCCAATATCTAACACATACCTTCTTATATGATCATTGCTAAATAAACGCTTATTAAATTGACTGGCATTTGAGAACAGTTGGACTTCTATCCATGGCTCAGTCTTAAAAATTATAACTTCTTGGAAAGGAATCAAGGAAAAAAATAGACAAGACAGTTAAGGGACACAGAAATGGACAATTGTCTGTTGAAGGTAATATGTATATCTTCCACTGAACTGCTATGAAGTATATTCATGTTGAGTAACTTCGTTTTATGAGTTGTAGTGATGTACAGTGATTGAATAAAAAATTAAAATAATAATTTAAAATTTTCTTAAAATTATAACTTCTATTATAATTCTAATTGCAGGGCTACCAGGTGGCGTGGTGGTTAAAGGCACTGGACTCCCACATGGCCAACCATAGTTTGAGTCCTGGACTTGGCGGCTTGCTTTCTCACTTTCCATCTCTCTTGCTCTCTCTCACTCTCTCCCTCTCTGGTCAAATTTAAATAAATTAATTAATTAAATTAAAATATACTAATTCTTAAGAAAAATTCTAATTGAAAGCTTACTAAGTTTCTCACTCTAGTAATCCAATAATTCTGAGCCAAAAACAGTTAAATACTTACATTCACTAGGACAGAGAAATCAGTGACCAGTTGGCTAAGTTCAATTAGGTCCTTAAAAAGAAAGAGAAGAAGTTACTTACTTTTATGCATCACAGCTACCAAAAAGAAAATAAGAACTGAAGGACCTTATGCTACATGATATTAGCCAGGAAATAGAGGACAAGTACCGTGTAATCTCACTTACATGGAATTTAAATAAGTTCATCTCAGAGAAACAGAGAGTAGAAAGATAATTACAAGAGGAAGGCAGTAAGAGAAGGGAAGGAGAGGTTGGGGAAAGGGGAAATGTTAATCCAAGAGTAAAAAGTTCCAGTTAGACTTAAGGAATAAGCTTTAATAATCTACTGCACAGCATGGTGACCACAGTTAGTAATACTGGACTGTATATTTCAAAATTACTAAAAGGATCGATTTTTAATATCCTTACCACAAAAAAGTTAGTCAACAAGGTGATGGCTATATTAATTAGCTTGACTGACTCTTTCTACAATGTATAGATAGATCAAAACAGCATAGTGTATCCCATAAATAAACACAGTTATTATTTGCCAACTAAAATTAAATTAATAAATTAACAAAATTAGAAATGGAAAAGAAATTGCAAACAATTTTTAACATACCGCTTCTAAGGTTTCCCATGATTCTGCAGCATTTTGATCTCGAGGAATTTCAGGCAATGCATATATCTGAGTCAAACTCTGAGAAGTAGCTTCAGCTTCAGTAGTGTGAAATTCTCCTGGATAAACAGCCCCATGTTTAGATTTTGTTTTGTGAGAAAAGTGATGGCATGAATCAGTTCCATAAAATGACTGCCCTTTTAACATGTTTATGAGTTAAATTCAGGCTAAATGTAAACTGATTATCATATAAAACTAGAGTTATTTATTCATGGGCAACTTATTCTCTAGGTTAGCATTTTTTTTTCTTCTTTATCTACAAAGTCATCTAAAAAACTGGCTACAGGGAACCAGCAGTTAGCTTAATGGCTATGTCGCTGGACTCCCACGTAGTCGACTGCGGTTCACGTCCCGGACCCAGTGGCTTAAAACTCATGCCGGGCGCGTGTGCGTGCATGCCCAAGATCCTGAGAGGAGAATGGAGGAGAAGGGATTGCGGCGTGACCATCCCCCCTGAGGGGTGATTTCTCACTTTCTGTCTCTATGTCTCTCTCTGTCTGTCTGGCGAGTGCAGCGCCCTATAGCGAAAACCTCTCAGGCAGGCCCCCTTAACGAAAAACCCCCCAAAAAAAAAAAAAAAAAAGTTAAAAAAAACTGGCTACAAGCACTCTATCCAATATTAATAACTAGGGCTAGATGTGGAAGAAGCACCAAAGGAAAAGTATTCTATCCGGCCAGTGTTACATGAAAAGACAGCCAGTATAAACTCTTTTCATTGCTAAATCCTTAACCTTGTATTTGGTCATTCTAGTAATACATAGAAGATACACTTGTGTCAGAAATAGGGAAGTGATGTGTTTTTATCAATGAGAAATCAATCACTATTTGTCACCAAGCAATCACTCTTACTATAAATATCTTTTTATTCACTCTTCTCATTACAGTGATTACTCTTTTCTAAGTGTTGAAAAGCCAGGGACATATTAGTCCCTTCCTCATTAAACACCGCCATGATGATGAATTAATTTATACCTGAGAATCCATTGTCAAGTCCTTCTGACTTCCCCGTGTTGGTTTTACCAATCATTCATTCATTCAGCTGACATTTATTAAATGTTGATGCTATGTCAATCATTATACTAAGGTAGTAGGGACACAATGGTAAACCATAAACACAACATAGGAGGCAACATGGTGTAGTGATTAAGAGCACTGACCCAGTCAAAAAGAGCTGGGTTGGAATTCTGGTTTGGCTATTTATTAGTTCTTTGACTTAGAAAGGTATTTCATCTCTTTTGCTTACTTTTATCATTTATCAAATAAGGCAATATTTACCTTGCACAGTACCTAGCTTATATATAAAGTACGTGGGCTCAATAAGTATTGTAGTTATACTACTGGGACTGTTATTAACAGCTTACCATAGAAAGTGTGATACAGACATGTTAATAGTCAAGTTCAGTCAGTGTAGTCAGTTAGGACTATTATAGAGGTGAGTATGGAGTGCTTGGTAAGTACAGAAAAGAGGTATATAACCTGAGTAGTAGAGGGCAGAGTGGTCAGAGAAGATTCTGAGTCTAAAGCCTAAGGAATGAACAGAAATTAAACAGGTGCACTAGAGCACAGATGGAGGGAAATGAGGAGAAATTCATAATAACTTCTTTATTAAAAAAAAAAAAAAAAGATGTGGGGGGGTGGCCAGCAGGCAACCAAGCGGTAGAGGAGCTGGCCTCCCACATGGCCAGTTGCAGATAGAGTCCTGGATCCAGTGGTTTGAAACTCATGCTGGGCATGTGTGCGTAGGTGTCCTAAATCCCAGGAAAAGAATGTAGGAGAAAGAATTGGGGGGTGGCCATTCCTTCTGAGGTATGACTTACCAATTTCCCTCTCCCTCTCTCTTTTTGACTCTGTCTCTCTCTGGTGAGCACACACGCCCTATAGCAAAAAACCTTAAATTAAAAAAAAAAGGAGATGGGAAATGTTTGACATTTTAAACTTTAAACAAACAGTAAAAAAAAAAAAAAAAAAAAAAAGAAATGTTTAAGTCATTTACGTCTCAACTGAAACCAAACTGCGTATGCATCTTAGTTCAAATAGTCTTAGAACAAAGAAGTCTGTTCTTTTCCTTGGAAAATCCTGTTGTAAATTTACAACACTGAATATCACTAATCAGTTCAAGGGATGACTATCAATTAAGAAAGCAAACTCTTTAGTTTCTAGAACTTCCATAATTCATTTATTCCAGCTTCTGTTAAAAATCATTACCTCAGTGATCATTCTTTGACTTTGAACTTTTACAAACTGCTAAGGACATGACGAGGCAAAACACTGAGACAGTTTATGGCTACAGAAAAGAAGGCTGAAAAACTTTAGTCCATCAACAGAAATAAAAAATTGCAGTAGTTTCATATGACACAAAAATCTCAAATCGTTCTACCCATGTATAAACAATTGTAACCATATAAGACAAATAGAACACATATTGCTCATCACTGTTTTTCAACTCCAGAATTGGTTTTAAAACCTTATTACTGGGTATAAACACAATTAGCACTTAAGATAGTTGATCCACTTTAGTTGAAATGAAAAATAAGCTAAATGACATACAAAAATACTTTTACATCCCAATATTCTCTCCATTTCCTTCTCCATATTTCATGGAGAGCAATGATTATACCAAGAAATACAATGCAATACTGAAAAAATTTCCACTAAACTTCACTATATTAGGTGAAGTTTCATTGCAAGTCTAAAATAATTTAAAAACATTCCTTAAATTTTTCAAAGTTCTGATAGCTTAAAAAATAATGAAATTACTGACCTACATAAACCTAGCTATACAAAATAAAATGATTTCAAAGTCATGCCTTAGCATAGCTGCAAAGGAAGACTTTCAAGAAAATTAAAACCAATAGGAAATATATATTGTGAGTAATATAATACAAAACCATCTACATGTTTCACAAAACCATTCAGTACATGTATATACCTGTGATAAAAATCTAACATTTCATCAAATCCAATATGCTGGTCTAAAATTCCCAGCAGTTTTAAGATTGGATTCGTTTCTTTTGTGAATATTTGTTTAAAATGTAATAAGTTTCTGTTCCTACCATGCTGCTGAAATGTGTGTCCTGGATGGGAAGTTAAAGAAAGACAAAGATGGAGTGAAGCACGGTTCACCCTGTGTGACTTGAATCGCCTTTCTAAACACAAATCAGATCTGTAGGCTCATCACTTCCTTGGTGGGAAGCAATATATGAAAAATGAAACCAGACACACAAGTGATACAGAAGGGAGTTTCTCAGATCAAGCAAGATTGGTAGAGAAGATTTGCTTTAGGAACTCTCAGAATCTGGACAAAAGAAACAGCAAAATCATCATAGCTTCCCCTTAAACTTAATAAGCTTCTTTCATTTTTGGAGAACATAAAACATCCTATTTTACCCATTTCTATCTACAAATGAAAAACTACTTTTGTACTTTTGATCTCACTTATGGAAATATAGCCTGAATCTCTGCTGATGTTCCCAACCAATTTACATAGAATCAGATTGAATTTGTAAAGGAGAGAGTATTTTAAGTCACTTACCTTCTATGCAAATAAAACACATTTTCTGTCTATATGACACTACTCTAATGAATATCTAAAGCAAAAATAAGGAAAAACCAGAGAGCACAGAACAAAAACACAGAATGACAGAAAAGAGTCTACAGCTAGAAGACCAAGGAGTAAAGTCCCCACTAGTGAAGTCTTCAGTAAATCAGTTACTTGTTTTCTTTTCATTATTCTTCTTTTTCTATCCTCTTGGATTATTTGTTAATAATATTTAATAATATTTCTGAATTGAAGACACATTGATGAAATACTCAGGCATTTGGTGAGAGAGTAATTTTTTTTTTTTTTGAGAGATTTTCACTGTAGGGCGCGTGCGCTCGCCAGACAGAGAGAGACATAGAGACAGAAAGCGAGAAATCACCCCCCAGGGGGATGGTCACGCCGCAATCCCTTCTCCTCCATTCTCCTCTCGGGATCTTGGGCACGCACGCACACGCGCCCGGCGTGAGTTTTAAGCCACCGGGTCCGGGACATGAACCGCGGTCGACTACGTGGGAGTCCAGCGACATAGCCATTGCGCTAACTGCTGGTTCCCGTGAGAGAGTAATTTTAACTGTTGTTAATAGATTCAAAATATAATCTGAGTGGCAGACTATTCGGTCTGAAATTCTACACATTGTTTAGGTATGTTTAAGTATAATTTAAGTATGTGATTTTATGAATAAAATGACTGCTTCAATTATATCAACACTAGTTTAAGAGATTTAATTTTATAGTTTTCCCCTAGTGGTAAGTAATTAGGTCTTTAGCCTATTTGGAATTCTATGAATTGAGAGGTTTAAAGTTTAATCGAGTTGGAAAATAAATTTCACCTACTATATCTTCTCCCTCATCCTCTGGCTCTGCTCCAATCTCTTTTTCATTTCTTCTATACACATGCTTCCTCAAATTTTGCCAAATTTTTTTTTTAAACACTAGTCATCTCCTTATGGAGGAAGTTAATTGCCAGCAAACTGGGTAAACTGCCTTCTTCTAATATTCACCTACTCCTCTCATAATATAAGCCCAAGTTTATCAAGCCTGAACACCTACTGGAAGGAATACAAGCAATGCAATAACAAAAAGCAAATTAAAGCAAATATTATAATATTATCATGGGACCAGCAGTTGGCGTAATGGCTATGTCGCTGGACTCCCACGTAGTCGACCACAGTTCAAGTCCCGGACCCGGTGGCTTAAACTCACGCCGGGTGCGTGTGTGTGTGTGCCCAAGATCCCGAGAGGAGAATGGAGGAGAAGGGACTGCGGCATGGCCATCCCCCCTGGGAGGTGATTTCTTGCTTTCTGTCTCTCTGTCTCTCTGTGTCTGTCTGGCGAGCGCACGCGCCCTATAGCAAAAACCTCTCCAAAAAAAAAAAAAAAAAGAATATTATCATATTGTGAGAAAACTCCTGGCTAGAGCTCAAAATCTTTGTTTGATAGGGAATTCCTGGTGATGGGCAATTCAAAGCTAAGTAGCAAAATAAATTGATGACAATTACTCTTTTCAGAAAATCTAGC